AAAAATAAAAAAAGAGCATGAAGAAAATGTTTAAAATCAGTCAACATATTTAAAGGATCAAATCCTGTGCTCAATGATGACAAGGACAAACACACACATATACAGATAGAAGCCTGCTCTGAAAACCTATCTCACCAAAGTAAAGATCATAAGCTGCTGTGCTGGAATTCTTAATTTTTCAATTAAAACTCTTGTTAAATTTTTAAAAAACAAAGCCATGCAAATATTTTTGTTGGCCATCTAAATATGATCCCACGTTCTTCCACAGTCTTACTAGTCTGATTATGTAGACCAAATTCCTGGTCAGGAATTACTGAAGAATTTGTAAGTCAGAGATCTGAAAAGGTACCACTTTTATAGTATTAGTGTCATAATAGCATATTTTTTTGTTTATGACATGGAGAAAGAGTGAGCCATTACGGAAGTATTAAAAGAAAACGCATCTATAAAATTTTTCCTAAGATGGCATAAGCAGTAAAGGGGATTTTGGTCAGTATGTCCTTGGACCAGATAGGATGATTATGGCATCTGCTAGGTACACAGGGGTGTGCAGAAGATGAGGGTCTAGATCCTTGTGACAGAAAGTTAACACAGATGTGAAGATGGAGTAATGTAACTGTCTGCATGACTTTGGAAAAATCTTAGGAAACCTTTAAAAACATACATAATTCATGATACTGTCCTTAAACATATTTAAAGAATATCATGCCTAGAAATGTCTTCATATTCAATATTTTTCAAGTGATTACATTCCAGACATCCCACAGTCAATAAAGCATGTACTCTTTATATTAAAGTGCATTTGCAGCTTCTGTTGCTCTTCACGGGTTTACTAGTAATGCAGAGAAATGGTTAGAACATCCCCTAGCGGTACTTCCCTAGAGTTGAATACTCTCTGTAGTACTTGCGCTTGGTGAATAAAGAGCATGACTATGTCACTAAACATGTACCCATTGCTTCAACATTAGAAAAGTTTATCATCAGTTTAATTTTCTTCCCACTTGGTTTTGATACTCATTTGTACCGGGTCAAATATTAGCATTGGTTCCGCTTTAAGAGCTAATTCATTAAAATCACTTTTGGTCGATTTTCGGACGGTTGCTGTGTTCTAAAGACAATGAAGAATGTAATGCTTTAACATCTTATATTTCAAACTACAGGTGGGATTTTTAAGGGGTACACTGAACTGGGCTCGTTAATCCATTGGTTTGTAAAAAGGAGATTTCAAAGTTAATATCCCCGAGAATCACTCAAAAAAGAGGAGAAGCAGGAAAAGAGCAAAGTATTTCACACCCAGGTTGCCCAAACTAGCTTTCAAGTACGCCTTTGTGACGTCCAAACTAAACAGGACTTTGATAAGAGGAAACAAAAGGGCCAGGGGGGTCGCAGTTCCGAAGAGAGGATTCACACCTTGACTGTGACCGGGACTGTGTCATATTCTATGTCTCAGTGTCAGTCTCCTTACATGTAAAAGGGACTAGTGATAATAGGTAATAGTGAGGCATCATCCTAATGTTATGAGGATTAAACAAGCGAATGCACATGAAAACTCCTCCTCACGAGGAAGGGCATAGGTTTCCTCTGCCTAAAACACAGTGTCACGTGGTCTAGGACAAACATCCCAACCAGTGAGTCCACTCTGAGGCAGAAAATAGGATTTTATTCCTACAGAGTTTCCAACAGGGAAACCAATGTCTCTAAACTTCTATTTGTGCATCCCAAATAAATTTGGAGCTCTCTAGACACTGTTTCTATGTACAGATTAATCGTGATTGTGTCTTCCTCGGCTGTTGATGTCAAATATACATGGTTTATCTGTTTCTATCATTTTGACTGATATTGCACACAGCTAAAAAAACCAGCATGGCTTTAAGATAAAAATTAATGGGTTGTCTAATTAAACCCCGGATATTCTGGTATCAAGTAGATATAGCCTGGTACTATGTAACTCTCTGTCTTCTATTACACTATTTTGCCCCAATGTAAGAGGTTTTTTCTTAGGTGTATATGTGCCTTCCCGTTACTCCAACTCTCTATTTCTTAATTTTTCTCTGTCTTAGTAGACAGAGAAGCAGAGATGAATTTGTACTAATTTTGTATCATGATGTCCTAACTGACATAGCACTGTGATGGGCTCCAGCTTCCCTTCACAGAAGTTGGGTGACTCTTTAGTCAGATACATTCTTCTAATGGTAAAATGTTGTTGATAGGACATATGACTTGCTCTGCCAAGGGGATGAAGTTATTTGATGTGAACCTAACCTCATTTCTTGGCATTGTTCACTTTCTGAACAAGGACTACCATTTATAATATGGCAGAGTGGTTACAATTATGGTCATAGGAAACAAATGGAATCCACTTGACTCAGTTCTGTGCAACCCCAAACCTTGGATTTATCAGCTTTCTGCTGAAAATACTTTTCAAGCATATCCTTAAGGTCATGTTCAAAAATAGCAACATGTGAAATTTGCCACAACAAGAGCATGTACTATGAACTCATCGAGCTGTTTAGTATGAGAAAGCTGTGTATATGTGGGCTTGGGATGAGGGGTTTGAAAGTTAAAATGAAAGAAGGAGAAACACAATCCCCACGAGCCATGTCTGTAACATGAAGAGAGGAAGCCACTGTATTGATTCTAAACTAAATTTTGTCATATGCATCTCTCCCCCACCCCCGCACCAAGATATCCAGATACAGAATCATAGGATTGAGCTGGCTGTGACCTGAGACCAAATGGATTGCCTCATTTTATAAATGAGGGAATTAAAGCTGAGGGAGGACAAAGGCTTCTTCAAGATAACATGGTCAAAGAATGAGCTTCAGTTTGAAGTCAGGGCTAATATTATTCACTCCAGTCCTCTTCTTACTACATCAGCTCCTTCCATGTACTTCCCTATATTTATAACCAAGTCCTTATTCATTTTAAGGAATGAGCAAAACTTAAGCTATTAATATTTTCTCATACTTTACATCTAAATAAAGAGTGCGACTATAATGGCTCATCTAGCACTGATCTTTAAAAACTTTCCTTATCAGTCATAATCTTTTGACCTCATCTTGTAAGCTTATGTGCCATGGTCACAAATCTCATACCATGTTCAGAAAACAAATGCAGCATTTGTTTTTTTTTTTTTTTAAGATTTTATTTATTTATTTGACAGAGATGGAGAGAGAGAGAGCACAAGCAGGGGGAGCAGCAGCAGAGGGAGAATCAGGCTCCCCGCTGAGCATGGAGCCCGATGTGGGGCTCGATCCTAGGACCTTGGGATCATGACCTGAGCTGAAGGCAGACGCTTACCTGACTGAGCTACCCAGGCACCCAGCATTTGGTTCTTTAAAAGAAATTTTAAGATACAGTTCAAGAGCGCTTGAAGAGAACAAATGTGGCCACTGCTTTTCCTTGGGCATTTATTACTTTCCTTATTTATGCTTAAAGTGAAAAACATACTAAGGATGAAGCTGATAAGGTTTTAATAGTACTTAGCCACTATGAAACGAATAGACATAGAAAGGCATTTAATTGCTTAACTATATTGCCTTGCTTTAGTCAATGCCACTTATACCAGTCTATCATACAGATATTTCAAAACTATCCATCACAACAAGAATTAAATTATAGGAGATCTCAAGAGGTCTTGAATTTGGAACTTGTTTTTATTAAAGATCTAGCAATTCTTCAACAGGACTTTCAATCACACCCCTAAATGGACTGCCAATACAAAAAGTTATCTGCTTTATCATTTTTTTCCTATTAAAACACTGAAAACAAATATTTTTAAACTCAGTTTCCTCTCTGTCCTCAGAAGCATACTGTCTGCATCCTATGAAACTGGAGAGGGAGACAAAACAATTCTCTAATTCTATGGTAAAATCAGTTTGGGGGTTTTGGGGTATTTACACAGTGTCCCTCATGTGGGGAACATAGAGACACATTACCTTTTCTGAGTTCTTATTATGAGCCAGGTACTGTACTAACAACTCTACATGAATTAATTTGTTTACTATTACAGCAAGCATGTTAGAGATGAGAGAACTGACAATCAGAGAGGATGAGTGACTTTAAGGTCATTCAGTAAGTTTGATTCCAAAACTTGTATGCTATAATAATAACCATTATAACTGCAATAACACCAAGAGCTAGAATTTATACAACATTTACCATGTAACTAGTACTGTTCTAAGCACTTTCCACATCTTTTGACTTACTTGTCCTAATAATAGACTGGTATTTTAGAAACATTTAATATCCACATTTTCTTCAGATAAAAGACCGAAGCACAGAAGGGTTAAATAACTTGCCCAAGGTCCCACAGCTAGTAAGTGTGACCTTGAGCATGCTTCTGGTCTCTGTATTTATTATGCAAAGCTATGAAAAACCTCGGTTTGTGATAGGATGTTCTTTTTATTTTTTAAAAAGATTATTTATTTATTTATTTTTGAGAGACAGCAAGCGAGCGAGAGAGCGAGCGAGCGAGCATGAGTGGGGGCAGTGGCAGAGGGAGAAGCCGAATGCCCGCTGAGCAGGAAGCCCAACTTGGGACCCTGGGATTATGACCTGAGCCGAAGGCAGACACTTAACCGACGAGCCACCCAGGTGCCCAGGATGTTCTTTTTAGAAAGATTTTAGAATATGTCTTACCATTGACTGTTGTTTAAATTAGGATTCCAGAGGTAAAGATGTTGAAAGAATCCAAGCAATAATTGTACAAAGTAATTGTATGACAGTAAATAAGTCCTTCCATCATGATTCAGCACAATTTTCCATATTCATTGCAAGATATAGGAAAGTCTAACTTTAAGCTGTTTACAAAAATTATTACTAATAGGTTTGAAAACATTTATATAGGAACTTACTAAATAATATAAAATACCCTATATTCATGAAATATTATCCAGAACATCACATGAAGAAACTACTTTTCTTGTTCCTTACAAACAAGCTTTATCCATATATTCTCTTGTTGTAACAAGGAACTGCAATGCTCATAACGTGCCTACCTGCAGAAGCTTCCATCTGGTGTTCAGGTCTTCCAAAATGTTGAGGTTATATGGTGACAGCTGAATGCCCAATGTAGTGAGTTGGCGAGCAAGGTCATTGACGTAGCTGACATTCTCCTTCAGAGGTGTAATTTCTCCTCGAAGCACCTGTGTGAAATAATCAAGGGTGAGTTGGAAAATGAGAACATTTAAAACAAAGAAGCAGACACATGGGAACTACAAGATATCTTGTTCTGTTTGGGGTGCAGTGTTAGTGACGTTTGCTCTATTACAGTGACATTGTAACCACGAACATCTGTGAATGGGTGAATAATAATAACTAATATTTACAGAGCATTTCTTAGGTGCCTAATCCTGTGATGAGCTCTGTCCACATAATAATAATTTTATTCCTACAAAATAACCCTATGAGATTGGTAGTTGGAGAATTCTCATTTTACATGTGAGAAAACAACTTGCAGAGGTTATATCTTGCCAAAGGTTCAACGGGTCAAAATTGAGGAACCTGGGATACATGCCCAGGGTTGCTTGCCTCCAGAGTACATATTCTTAGCTATTATATCATATACCTTTCCAAAGTAATTCTGGATTGGCAAAGTAACAGAAAAAATACACTGCTAGATTCTAAGTTCTACTCATCTTACAACCACAAATGGATCCTTTTTTTTTTTTTACAATAAAAAGATATACTCAATCATGAAATATTACATTCATACTTTACACCAACTGCATAATAAATAGATTCATTTAGAGATTAGGGTATTTTGTCAAGCCCTAAGAATGACTTCCTGGTCTCCTGGTAATTTAGTCCTTGTAGCAATGACTTAGGAAGGCTCCCATGGGGCTTCTCGGCTGTCTCTGAAGCACTAGAATGGGATTCTCTGATGCAATGCATCACGACAATCTGGTGAGCAGAAGAACCCTATGCAGATATGGGGAGGATATTACCATGCATCATATCTACCCTATTGAGATGACATTTATGGATCTTTAACATGATGCATGATGTCCAAATGTTCCAATGAGCAATTTCTAAGGGACAAATTCCCTCACTTAGGAGAACAGTTTGTGTAATGTAATGTCTTTGCATAAGGACAACATCACTTACTCGGGTATATGCACTGCTTTGACTTGCTTGATCTGGGTAGGTGTTATTTCTCTGGTTCACTATGTTGATAAAACCACTGTTTACACTGACTTCATCTATAACCCTCCAATTCCCTCCCACTCGAAAGAGAAGGAGCCAGTATGTACATTCTAAATAAGAATGGCATTAGTCCTGTCAAATCAACCTGAATATCTCACCACTAAAATGTGGTATTGTATGGAATATAAGACTCATATAGTTCTTAGGTAATATAAGACACTGTGATAATCACTCTATAGAACTTAATGTTTTTTAAAAACGGGCATTAAGAATATTATATTAAAGAATCATGGCCGTCTTTTGGGAGTGATGAAAGTGTTCTGGAATGAGACAGTGGTGATGGTAGCACAACCTTATGAATATACTAAACACCACTGAGTTGCACACTTCAAAAGAATGAATTTTAAAAAATTTTTTATTAAGTAAACTGTACACCCAACATGGGGCCCAACCTCATGACCCCAAAGTCAAGAGTCACAGGCTCCACCAACTGAGCCAGCTGGGTGCCCCTGAAGGGTGAATTTTATCATTTGTGAATTATATATTAATAAAAAATAAAAATAAAGGAAAACAGAAGAAATCTTTCTGACCACAGACACGCAAAAAAATCCTATCTGATGTATTCATCTCTATTCAACTTCATGTCAGTGGAATGTCATAGGAATCAGTCTGAGAAAGTTTTTATAGGGATTGATAGTAAATATTATTATTCCCTTGCCTTATAAATAAATATAGAGATTAAAAGGATCCCATGAAAGGAGGTAAAATTCATCGATGTAAATTCATATCTCTAAAAGGAAATGATCCATAATCACTTTGTTTTGTGTAATAAAAGGTTAGAAAACAGATTTATTTTAAAGATTTATTCATTTATTTGAGAGACAGCATGTGTGCGTGCGTGCGCTAAGGTGCGTGGTGGTGGTGGGGGATCCTGAAGCTGACTCCCTGCTGAGGGAAGAGCCCTGTGCGGGGCTCCATCCCACGACCCCCGAGATCATGACCTGAGCCAAAATCAAGAGCTGGTGGCTTAACTGACTGAGCCATCCAGGTGCCCCTAGAAAACAGATTTCCTAAATGTCAATGGAGAAAACTGGACAAGGGCAATCATCACAAGATGGAGGCATTCTCTTCTGGATAATAACATCTGTTTCTACACACCATAAATAAATATCATATGAGTAGGAACTAGAAACAGGAAAGCATTGCAGAGATGATGCGGCAGCCAGGCAGAGTCCGACAAAACTGCAGGCTAACCCCGTCTGTTAATCATCAGTCTTCAACAGCGTGCCTCTTAGCCATTGAGTATCTGGCTCAGTCACGTGCAGGTTTCAGCTCCCTTTGGACTACATCATGTAGGTGTTCAAATGCCTTTACTGGAATATTTGGATTTTCACTTCCTCCCTGCAAAGTCCTGGACACAGATTTTAATCCTCCATTGGTGTTTTGGAAGATGAAGGTGATTAAAAATTAGGGTCCAGGGTGCCTGGGTGGCTCAGTTGGTTGGGCGACTGCCTTCGGCTCAGGTCATGATCCTGGAGTCCCCGGATTGAGTCCCGCATCGGGCTCCCTGCTCATCAGGGAGTCTGCTTCTCCCTCTGACCCTCCCCCCTCTTGTTCTCTCTCTCTCTCTCAAATAAATAAATAAAATCTTTTAAAAAAATTAGGGTCCAGTACACATCATTAACCAGAACACTCACTCTCCTTCTCCTCCTCTCTCCCCGCCATCATGGAATCCGGTGGCTTCTGTTACCCCCCCACCCCCGCGCATCTAGCAATTACAGTAGACGTTCTCTTAACTAGTCTTTACTTAAGACTCACCAGATTAGCCAGTCTTCATGCCTCTGTGAAACACAGTGACTGGGGCCTCTCATAGCCTCTAAATAAAATGTTAGAGCTATCTGCCAGGATGCATGGCCTTCAGCTCTCATTAGTTGAGTTGTCAGTTGTGGTATGGTCTCAAACCTGTTTTTTGCCAGTTAGTATTGCAATTACATAATTTAATTAAAGATTTCACAAACCAAAGAAATTTAAGTCTAAGAGAAAATAAGCTATTATTTCTATGAAAACCAGGTTAAACCCTCTAGAAATGTGCTTTAAAAAGAACAAGAGAAGTAAATATTGTTGAGTTGGGTGTAGACAAGGCAACTGTAAAAGATTAGGAAAATAATCTGAAAAATTTAGAAGGGTTCTGTATTCAGAATGACTTTGATGTTTCCTGATGGGTTCTGTCTACATGAAAGAAACTGGAACTGGAAATCACGAAGTCTTCATCATCAGTGTGATTTATGGAGAAGTCTAATCAGTGAATCTACACTTAAAGAAGAAACCTTCACACAACATTAAAATCCTGGTTGACTAAGATCGAATAAAATGTCTAAGACATACTTTTTTATGATTCCCTGATTGAACTGACTTTTTCAATTAACTGCTGAACTCTAGGTTCTGAGCTGGAATGGAGGAAATCTATGATAAATTTTACTACCACTCCTTGACTACCACTGCTACCACTACTAGTATCATCATTAACTAAGGGGGGCAGAAGGCATATGTTTAGTTTAATCCGGATTACATTTCTGTTAGGATCAAAGGAAGCTTTGATGGGGGCGGGGAGAAGGTCAGTTGGTAAAGTGATCATTTGGTGGGAAGTTTTGTGCTGGGTGATATCATGATGGGACTGAGCAGAATGAAGAACTTTAGCCAGCTAGACGTCATCATGAGGGCACTAAGCCCATGAGAACAGACGAAAGAAGGTAACTGGAGGTAGAAGAGAGGAAGAGAAAAAGGAGGTGGGAGAGTGTCCGAGTCAGTCTCCACTTTGGCATCTGGCCTAGGTTCCTGTGGCACCCCCTGAGGATGGCTCACTGCTGTTGTAGACTATCAATGCCTAGAAGTGTACCGAGTAAGAAGTATGGCTCCCTAAACACCGAATCACAAGACACCATGCCATGTAAAGACTCAATACGGGTCCTGTGTCATTTAAGTGGATGTCCCATTGTGTTTGACTATCTTTCCAACATTAGAGCTTTTAATATTACACATATAAATATATGTTTACATTATTGAACACCAAGTATGAAATGTCAAAAAAGTACAGTTAACTCTGAACAATATCCTGTGCTATTTAAATACGACCAGAATTTCATTAGATTTTATTCTAGTTTGGAAGCAGTGAGTAAGAAAACATTGAAGGGAGCCATTATATTGTGGGTTTTCTTTGAATCACTTAAACATCTGGAATATGTTCTCCATGAAAGAGCAAACCAAGTCTAATTTTATTATGACTAGTTTCATGCCAGCAGAATTTTCACTTCATTAAATGTTGTCTGATTATAGATATAAAAGCACTGATTTAGAATGATATATAAGTCTGATATGTCAAGTTTTTCTTCTTTTTATGAAATTAAATTGGTTGTCAGATTGTTGCTTATCCTTATGTAGTTAAAGATTTGTTCAAATATAGATTTAGGATTTTAGTCATCAACCACATTGCAACAAAAGAAAGGAATGATCTATTAACAAGGGAACATTGTTTTGGAGGGAGAAGCTTTGGCTTCATAGTTAAGGGACTATGCTGCTGGGTACAGAAGGTCACTTTAAAGAACTGGAAAAAAATAAGTCAAGGGACTTGTACTTTGAGGGCCTCTGATTCCTCTATGAAGTATGAAGCAACAGACTGGGCATAAAATCGGTGTTCAACAAATATTCGTTGGATGAAAACATGAATTCAGGGTAAGTGGGAACATTTGAATTAGGTGTGACAGAGACCATGACAGAGGTTGACCTCAGAAACTAGCGAGGTTGCTAGATGGTGTCAAGGGCCCATTGGAGGCCGATGACTGACTTTTTTTTTTTTTTTTTGAAATCTTGAACCTGCCCACCCCATTTTCTCCTTCTCCAACCGTGTTCTTTGCAAGCACGGAGAAAGCATTTGATCCAGGTTTGGGGTCATGCACCAGCTTCATGAAGGAAACTGTCTGTCAGGGACAAGACAGTTTAAATT